ATAATCAACATTTAAAATTTTAGCATGATGAATATAATGGTCTCAGTGGCCTCCCTTGCAAAACTTATTCATATATATCAAACAAAAAAGAAACAAAAGTAATTAACAACATAACAACCAATAAATTACCTAGCAAACAGTGACTACCAAAGGAACCAATGACTTTCATAGGAACCATTAACTTTGTCAAGCAACCATTGATTTTCATAGCAACAGAATACTTCCCATAGAATACATTGACAAACATAGACCACTGTCTTTCCATATCAACCATTGCCTTATCACCCTCAGCAGTGATATATTTTATAGATTACATTGACTTTCATATCAACCAGTGGCTTCTTATAACAACCAGTTACCAAATTGCAACCACTGATTTTCCATAGCAACCATAGACTTTGAAAAGCAACCAGTAACCACTAGTGCAAGAAATAACTCTCCATAGCAAGTATTGTCTTCAATAACAACCACTTACTTTTAATAGCTTTCCGTCGCAGTCAGTGGATTTCCATAGCAACCATTAACTCAGACTATAAGTGACTTCCTATAGCAACCACTAATTATCATAGCAACAATTAACTTACATAAGAACCATTGACATTCCTTGGTTATTGTCATTACGCCGCCTGTCAATCAAACTGGCAGGGATCACAGAGATAAGTCAATCAGCGATCGTTATCAGTTACATGCAAAGATGCCTGCTAAGTCCACCGTTTTCCTTAGACAAGCAACTTGTATAAGACAATGGCGCAGAAGTTATTTAGATTGAAATTGTTTTAATTTCTGTCAATTTAAAGGTATGTAATTGGAAAATTAATTAAGTCACTAAATGAACCGATAGAGTAAGTAAGTTTATTATACAAAAAGTCAATAAATTGTAACATATGGAAATTTATATGTTTTGTAGTAGGTACGAAACGCTTAGCTCGGCTATAAAACAGTGCATTGAAAACGGAAAAGGTTTAAATAAATCAACTTTTTATTACCATTCTATCTAATATATTATAATGTACAAGAATATCTAGAATATATGACATTTTTCGTTTATAAAAACAGTCCTAAAATGCAAATGTAATGCGTAAATACAATAAAAAAAATGGGTGAAACTATCTAACCTGAATATTTCTATTAAATGTTAAAACAAAATCAGATAAATAATCAAATAGGTACGCCTAATACGAAACTATTAGAATAGTTACGAAAAGTTACGCTAGCGCATGCAGTTTTCTCAATCAATTTTAACAATTCATGAACAAATTATTGTATTATATAAACTAAATTCCACACATACCCGAACAATTATTTTAAATTTTATTGTGTCACATATATAATTTTTTTTGTTTCGCTACTTCAATTTCAAAATTAAACAATCATATCATTATCATACTCTTTAGTACATATAACCTTTCTTTTAATTTGTAAGATATAATGATATTTTGACAGTTTAAAATTGTCATTTTCATTTTACATTTATACATTGAATAATACTATTTAATAAAACCATGAAAAGTATAAAAAAAATTATATGAACAAAAAAAATTTATAGGGTCAATTTACTCATTAGTAGCATAACAGTTTTTCAAAAACAGCGGTACCAATATTTTGTCTAAGGTTTCTTACTGACCGGAGTAGTATAGGGGTCTCTTTGGCGTCACGATTGCGCATGCGCGACGCCATATTGAATTATATTTTAAGAATGCCATCATCGTTCTATTTTTAGAATGTGATCATCCGTCTATTTTTAGAAATTTATTTTTAATATCCCGGAAGTATACGAAGCGGACTCGTATACCCGAACTAGGGCTTGAATCGCGGACATTGTAGGTCAGGTCCTCAGACCTTGACGGAGAGATAATCACCATCATTACAGATACAAGGAATGTTTGTAAATAGATACGTGCTTAACATTTTAATTTATAAATTAAAAAAAAAAACAAATAATTTCTAATATGTTCAAAATAAATAATATTAATACATTGCAACCTAGCAACATAGCAACCAGTGACTTTTTATAACAACCAGTGCATGTTTGTAGCAACCATTCACTTTGCATGACAAGCAGTGACTTTTTATAACAACAAGTGACTTGCCATAGTAACATTTGACTTCTCATGATCAGTGACTTACATAGGAATAATTATCTTTCCATTGCAGCCATGAACCATTTAAGCAGTCTGTGACTTTCCATAACAACACTTGACTTCCATGGCAACCACTGACTTCACATGGCAGACAATGACTTTCCATAGAAACCAATGACTTCTATAGTAACCAGTGACTTTCCATAGCAACCAGTGACTTCTAATAACAAGCAGTGCGTTACCTCAAAGAAACCATTGACTTTCCATTGCATCCATTACCGTTCCATAATAACCAGTAACCAATATAATATAGACTATCTTTACAAAAATTGCCTTCCAACAGGAACCAGTGACTCACATTGTAACTAGTGACTTTAAATTGCAAATTTAGACCTCTTTAGTACACAGTTACTTGAAATAGCAACCATTTCCATACACAAGCAATCAGTGACTTCTATTGCAACCATTGACTTCCATAGCAGACATTGACTTCCACCACAACAACCGATGACTTTCTACAGCAATCATTGATTCCATAGCAAACGGTAAATTCAAATAGCAATAAGTGACTATAAAGCAACCATTGACTTTCCCAAGCAACCATTGACTTTTCATATGAACCATGTGGTTTCCATAAGAATAATTGACTTTCCATAGGAACGGATCGCTTTCCATAGCAACCATTGACTTCTGTATCACCCAGTGACCTTATAGCGGCCATTGACTTTTCATAACAAATTGTACATATCGATTGCAATCAGTGACTTACATAAAAAAAACATTGGCTTTTTTACATAGAAACCAGTGATTTCTATAGCAAACATTTACTTTTCTAAGCTATGAGTGAACCACTATTGGATTTCATAGTGTTCAGTAACTGCCAAGGGAACCATTGATATCGTAAAGCAACCAGTGACTAATTTAGTAACTATTGTTTCCCAAAAGCCAATAATGTTTTAACACGTGTATTTTTTTTCAAATACAAATACAAAGTTTTTAATAACAGTTTGAGATTGATATTTTATATCTATTTTCGCTTATATTTTACAATATGACTCTTCCTTGTCTTTAAGAGTATATATATTTAGGTGAGCAATATGAGCAATAGTAGGGTTATCATGGAACTCTTGTTGTCAAAAACGTGTGGAAAAAATGTTTACTATCATGGAAAAAATCAGTCTACTACGCGCTCTTGCTGAATAATGCCCCCGTTGATACTTTGCTTTCGTATACAGCCCAACACTGAGAAACGTCGAGTGTGCTGACCGAGTACTTGTCTTGCTCGTATATCCCGCCTTGTCGCGATGTTCCTGGGCCTCCATGGTGAAACAGTTAAAGCACCGGACTTCACAAATGTTGCAAATTACAACTCCTGGAAGGTAACTAGTACGCGATTAAGCTTTCCAGCTGGTTTTGGATGGTCAGTTATTAAACTCGAGTTCGTAACATAATGCAAGGAGGGAAAGATGCCACTTGACCATTAAGTGTTGGTGTGACTTAAACGTATTGACATACTTCAAGTATAAAAGATTAACCTTACTTTTCAACATTAAAAACAAACTTATTACTAATTACAAAACCCGACTAGGAACTGAAGTACTTGAGCTCAAGCGTTGGAAATATACTTGCAGCGATATTAAAATTTATAATAGAATGTCAATCGTCTATCGTTTGTTGTCTCTAACGTCTACAATTGGTTTGTTTACGCTTTGGTGGTCATATTTTCCCCTCAATTCTCACAAACCTTTGTCAGAATGTTTGCTGTATGTAATTTCCGGGTCGAGGTTATATATGACTTCGGTGTTGTTTTATTTTTCTGGTCTTTCGGGATCATTGATGCCAGCACTATCAGAGTTGAGAATTGAGTACCTCTCAAGTCGGTGCTAGGGAAGTGAGGAATGTTTCAACTTTTTTATCCCTCATGTACAGACTCAATCAAACCGAGTCTGCAATTTTCATGTATATTTTGCGATTAATGCTTCCAAGGGTTCTCTTTGTTTTAAGATTTTTTTTACCTCGAATGACTCAAAAATAGAAAAAAAACTTATCAAAACTTAGTGGTAACATTTTTCAGCCCATCTATCCAAACAATTTGTCAGAAAAGTTGTTTTGATAATGTCAAGCTCAATAATGAATAAGGGTCATCTGGGGGGTGTTAAAAACAAGGCCTTACTGCCAGAATAGATATAAAACAAACTTGTTAACTCTCTATATGTAACATTTTATGTCTAAATCTTTTGAAAATTTGTCAGATACGATTTTTCCATTATTTTAAAGTCAGGTTTTAATATGCGTCATCTGGTATCAAAAACTAAATCACACAGCTCAAATATGAAACAAAAACCCAATTCAAACTCTTAAAATAAAAAAATTAAACTCAAATTACTTTGACTTTTGTCAGAAATGTTGCTGAGATGATTTCTAGGTTAAACTCGAATATGATTCTTACAGATTAAAAAACTAGATCACATAGCTCAAATATTGAAAAACCTTGTTAAACATTTTCAGCCCAAATATCTGTGAAAATGGTCAGAAAAGTTTTCTTGTTTTGATACTTTTTACCTCAAATTTATTGTTCATTTGGGGTCAATTACAAGGTCAATTTTCAAAATGCCATGTAAATATGTTGAAAAATTTGTTTAAAGAATTTCTAGCTATTGTTTATATATAGTCCATCTGGGATGAAATATAGGTCATTCAGTTAAAAAGGAAAAATCTTGTTTACATTTGTTGTATTTTCGAAGTAAATAAGGTTAATAAGGATTAGTCAATGAAATTTCATTTAACAGTTTATCATAGTTAGACTTAATGTTAGATTGAGTTTTGTTTTACTGATACTACTTTTCGTTTCAACATCAATCAAGTGGACTTTACTTTAGAAATAGAAAAACAAACTCTGAAACATTTGTTTTTCTACATTTAAGGGACGTTCGTCACCCTAATTTCTCCTCCTGGACCCTCCATGCCTACAGCAAAGTGATATTTCTTGTCATTCATCCATTTACCATGAATCTGAAAACAAACACACATCACAATTACAAGAAAATCAGAATTAAACAAAAAAACAACAACAACAATATAACATGTTTATGAACAATAACGAAAAATCACATCCTTCAACAAGTACAAGAGAACCAATATTTATGATTCACCATATCATACGACCTGAAATGGAGAAACAATATCAGCAAGATTACCAAGAAATAAAAAAAGTCCTTACTCGATCTTTATATTCATTTTACATACCTATACATGTCTTCAGCATCAACATGTTTATTGTTTTAATTATGACAGTTCTCTGTCATTTTAGATTATTTAGAGGAACGCAGACAACATTATATTGTATTAAATTTATTTAGTATTTTGACGAAGAAACAATTCATATAGCAAATCCATTATATTGAGTTATCGTAAATGGATTTTATAGCTTTACAAGAAAAGCATTGATGCATAGCATCAAAGGCGACGCAATAAAAATTTGATCAAGTTTTGCACCTAAATACTTAACAAAACATATATCCTTTATAGCATTGCCATTACATGTGACCTGGGGCTAGGCCCAGTTTAAGTTGAAACTTAAACCAAAGAGAATTATAGACTCTGTCTTGCCATGATGCAAAGACAATTTATAGTCAATTAACCAATCTTATAAGACTCATGCCATAAGAGAGAATTTCTTCAGATTTATTTTACCAGATACAAGGATACCTGAGTCATCAGCATATAATAAAAGCTTATAGCTTAGGGTTGCAGACATGTCATTGACATATATTGGACATAAAAGAGGACCTAAAATGAACCTCAAGGGGACACCATAGGTACTCGGAGCAGTAGTAGAATGAGTACCAGCCACATTCACCAGCTGCTGTCTATCAGAGATAAGACTTAAATCATGTAAGAATGTCATTACCTATGGCAGATTGAAGAAGAAAAAGAAGAAGCATTTCTTCATGTGCAATATAGTGTGATCAACTGTACCAAATGCCTTTTGTAGATCTAAAAGTATCATGCAATACTGCTTTTGTCCATTTCAAATTTAATACAATCTGTTAAATGAATCAAACATGTGTCAGTTGGAAAACCACTTCTAAACCCTGACTGAAATAGCCTGACCATGACTCAAATCCATGACTGTCAGAAAACCAACTTAGCTATCCGGCCGGCTACACATTTTCTCTTTAGTAATGCAACAGTTCTTAACCACAACGTATTTCTCCACTATATTGATTTGTGTCCTTGAATTTCCTGATGTTTACAGAGCGTAGTGAATTAAACTCCGGGTTATATGCAGTCACAAGATGAGAAAAACTCTCAAAACTCTCAGCTTGACCAGAACTCGAACCTATGACCCACAGAATAATGTACCACGGCTGTAGCGATTGACCTATCTGGCCCCTCATACATTTTCTCCCCTAAATAGTGAACAGTTCTAAACCGTGACAGATACTATTAGATTTTGAGATTAACAGGTAGATTAATTATTTCTTAAATTAACAGGTAGACTAATTCTTTATTAAACAAATAAGGAAAAAAATTATATACTCATAGTCTTAATCAAAATTACAATTATTATATTGTATAATTATTTTATTAAAAGGGCTTAGACAGTTATTAGTTGTGCCATTATTTATAACAGGTCAATTTGAAAGTGAACTCAACAAAAAACTAACCTTTTTTTTTCTATGATAAGAAATTTTATGAAGGCTGATTTGTATTTTGCACCAGGGGCACCGGGCGAAAACATGAAAATGCAACAAAGGAACCACTTTGTGGTAGATTGTATTTTCATGTTTTCATCTGGCGCCCGGTTACTTTTTGTACTTTGATGATTTTCATGTGGCACCCATTATAAAATTAAGTGCAAAAATTTATTCAAGGGCAAGTAACAATCTACTCTATGAAAAGTCTGTTGTCAGGTTGACTCTGCTAGAGACCTAAGACAGATGTCCCTCCGTTACAATAAATAAGACAGAAGCTGTCCTTTTCAAACTACAGTATGCACATGTAAGCAAAACATTTAGAATAACTTTTCAGAATATGATTTTTTGAGACTTTATTAATTATATTGCTTGATCCAAGTCTTAGGACTACATGTATTATCATTTATAACTTTAAATGAAAGCGCATCCCTTTAATAATAATGTCATAACTGTAACTATTTAAATACATAACTATTATAAGTCTCATCATATCAATATACTAAGATATACATGTATGCACATAACACAAATAATATATGGACATGAACACCTGTATGCATAGCTTTAATTTTCCAAATGTCTACCTTTCATTTTTACCAAAGATTATTTTATTAACAATTTATATACAAACACATAGTGATTAGACGATTCCTGTTGCAGAATACCTGTAGGTATGTATACTGACTGAACAAACTAGAAAAATCCAGTCTAAGGTATATAACGCCAGCAAAAAAAATATATCAATATTCACTTCTCAGGGCCTCTAAGCTTTTGATGACCTTACAACTGGTAAATTTTATACAACAAAAATAGTCATTAATACCTAAGATAGACAGAAAAGAACAAATAATTTAGTAAACATTAGTTACTTCCCCTTAAACTAGAGGAAACCTGAAACCCAAAAGAACACCCTAAACAGAAAAATTATGAAATGATGCAGGCTCAGTTTTATTAAGCCATGCAAAGTAATATTAAAGTATTCATAAAAAGTTAGATGGCCATGTGACAGCAGTAATTGCAGAAAATCAGATAGCTTTCAACATCCGGATACTCGTACACTTTGTAAAAACAATCATTATGTGCAATAGATAAACGTAATATGGATAAAATCAATAGGATAATCGTTTACAAAAGTTCAATTACCTATCCTTATACTCATTTGCAGGTGAACGTTCTTCTTGTAAGAAAATTTTGAAATTATATAAATGAATGAAAAAGAATACAGCATCAATGTAGCCCACAACGATATTCGAAAACCGGGTTTTAGTACTGCCAATAAAGCTAAGGGACAAGCTGTTAAACTGAGTCTGCAATTTTGCAAAAAAAATATCACAATGCACATTTTTTTTTACATAAAGTTATTAGATACAAATATAACAATATATTTGTTAACTTGATTTTTACGAATCAAAATAAAACTAATTAACACAACATGACATTAACTGCTAATAATAACAGCTTCTTCCATAGGCAAAAATAAAAAACATTTCATAAGAGATGACGCCGCTCACCGGCGTCGCCAATAAATCTTATTTTACATAATTATCCGTGTTTAATTGATAATATTAAAATTTCTTGTTAAATGTAATTGTGATCATATACACATAATTATCTTCAAAACGAACGTCCGATACTTGGCACCATAAAAACTTGTTATATTTGCCTTCATAAAACGTTGATACTGTGTCTATACAATTTGAAGAGTACCTTGTAATACGATTATTCCAAATTACTAGTAAAAACGCCTTAACATTTGCCGTGTGACTTTAATTGCTAATTTTATGCACTAAATTTTACTGCATACTTTCACTGTTTGTATACATGTATTTAAATTGTATAATCAAAAATGTATATTTATGTCATTAATTATGAAAAAGGGTGATACCTTTGTTGTAAAGAATTTGGTTATACTTTAACAATATGTATGTGTTTATAATGTTGATTATATCAGTTCAATTCAATGTAACATTGGATTAATTTTTTAAAGGTTCTTACCACTTTCCGGTTGTTTGTAAATATTAGACGCCATCTGAAAGATAAAAGAAAATCTATTAGAAAAATTCTAGTACAAATATGAAAAGCTAGTATTGTGTGTTACAATGTTATTTCATGAGTGTAATGCCTGTTCTGTTCCTTTTACTATGTGATTTATAAATCTTGTTTCCTTAAATTAAAGTCACTGACCATTAATCAGTATACAGCTGTATAACATAACTATTATTTCACCAGTCTTAACATTAAAGTACTGTCACAATAATAAAAAGCGAATTAATTGGAATTAACATTGTATGGCATAACTAATGCAGTGACGTGCAATTCGAATGTGTATGAATGATGAAGCCGCATTAATGTTTGTAAATGTGATTCTAAGAAGTAAAACCATTGGCAGCTTGTTCCGACGATGCATATTTACTTTAAAAGGAGAAAATCCGTCTCGCATTTAATACATCCCAGAATTTTTAAGACATTCATTTTAGCATCCGTGTGTTTGTATTTAATAACTTTTAGGACTAGACTTGTGTACAGATGTGAGCTTTCTATCATACCCGCTAAGTTCAATTCTTAACTCACAATTATATGTATTAAGCCTTATACCAGGTATTATGTCAACTTGTGTATCTCATAAATGATTCGGGCAACATCCGAATAAAAGTTTTAAAGATATATAAGTATTTGTTTATTAATTTGAAAGCTAAATTCATTGTTTTTTGTTGTGTTTTATATTAATCAATATCTGGCATGTAATTTATTAATTATACATGTAAATTGCAATGTATGTATATCGTATATTCAGTTCAGATGAAAATGACACAGAAATTGTATCTAGTACAGTTACTATTGTTATTAGCAAAAAGATTAGATAAATATAATAGAAAGACATAATTATTTATAAACAATTTAATAAAAAGGCTGAAGTGATTGAATATAATTAGAATAAGTAAAATTTAATGCTATTATTTACTTTTGATAATTATGATTTCCATTTTGTTTGTAAACATTTTAATTGCTTAAAGGTCAAGCATTGATAACAATAAAGAACAACACATGTTCAAGAATTGAATGGCATGTGTAAAATTATCTTCATAAATAGCTTGAACTGCTTTTCTTTTTTCTAAACAATAAAAGTTACAATATGCTTAGACTATTTTATAGTATTGATAACTTTGCTATTGGTTTCAAATACCTAAAGATTTTTTTTTCTAATTTGGCCACGACAAAACATTTATGAAAAACAGTGACAAATTGAAGTAACCCTTAACAACCTTTCTAAATGTCATCTTAAAAATCCCATAAATAGTGCAAAAATAGTATTTATAATTAATGTATGTTAATTAAAATCAAAGTGCAATTAAAAAGGAACTTCTTTCGAGTAATTATGTTTATAGATATAATGTGTGGATATATTTGTTTGGTATTTTTGATGAAACAAATACTTTAGAGTATATAAAAAATGACCATTTATTTATAATTTTAAAATGTATCAATATTTACTTTCCGAATGGTAATGTTATGGTAGTAATTACATAATTTGACGCATCATTACAAAAATACAAAACTTTTTCCACTTGTATAAAAATTGAGCATAATGGGAATGTAGATGTAGTTGTCTGCTACGTTTCGAAGTATATTTCAAACATTTTATCCTTATTGCTTAACACGTAACTTGTGTTTCACATATCTGCTATAATAATGAACTTAGAACCCCCTGCTTTTTGGTTTAAAAACAGCATAAAGGACAACATTATGTGTACCATTTACACATTATCAGGATCGGGCTTCAATATAATCTCAGGCCTTTGTTTCTTTTTCACATTAAATATTATTAGTTGAGTTGTGTTTTGGTATTCAATATTCGAATAATATTCATTCATAATAATGAAATATGATGACTTATTTGTATCATAGTTTGGGGACCTTTCTGTTGAAAAAATGTCAGAGTTAAATCGTATACATATGCACAGTGCATTAACTGGAGTGCAGGTATTAGTTACCCGCACTCCAGAGCGTGTCCATTGATTGACTCATTTTTGCTGGGGTTTACTTATTGTGACGGCAGAGAAAGGGACAAAAATAGAAATATCAGATGCTCACTCAATAGTTACTTTTTCCTGGAATTACATATAATGACCACAGGGAACGTGTTTTTATGTTTGACTATGATACAAAAGAGAAAGAACATCAAGACACTCGGCAATCTGATCAATACTCGGGGGCTACGCCCCTCGTACAAATCAGATAGCCTTGTGTTTTGAGGCCCTTTCTTTTACACATTGATATTTTAAAAATGAAAGTCTTTGTTATATTTTAAGAAACCATCTGTAATTGCAAGGAACGAGTATATCTCGTTTCTGATGCTCGCTAAAATACATTGATAATAAGTTCTAAAATCGATAGCATTTTCAGCATTTAATTTCTTTATATGTACGTCAACAAACTGAAGTATTGAATACAATATATAGCACCAGTTTCTTATAACCAGGGAGTTTTTCATTCCTCACCAGTTTGACTCTTTGTATAACCTGTTGCATCCTCAGCTTTAATGTGCAAACGAATTTTGACAAATTATATTACTTACAATACCTTTAAAGTATCATTGACCGTTAAGTTAGCTTAAACATTATGGAGTATATATTGTAAAGCAGTGAAGAAAGTAATGAAATGTAGAGGATGATTATTATTGCTGACCATGTATGTGTTGTTATATGGGTGGCTTTGAATTCATGCTTTCAAGATTGACGCTACATAAAATTATAACAATGTTTTCGAACTCAAATTAAAAAAGTTGTACATTTTTTAAACATATAATTTCAGTATACAGGACACGAATAAGAATGTAGTTTTTAAAATATAATAGTGATGGTCAAAATGAAAAGAAACAATTAAAACATCATTACAAAACTCATATGTACAACAAACAATAAATGTAGTGTAAGATCATAAACACAGCCTGAAACTAAAACATAGCTGTTGTCAAAAACTTGAAGTTAAAAAATGTGAGCAACATAAAATATCATTTATCAAAGAAACATCAATTTTGAATACAATGTATCTAGGTAAATAACTTGCACACTGGTCACAAGAACATAATTTGCCTTATCTCGTTTAATTGTATTTATAAAACTTTTTGTCAGCGGACATCAAAATAAATTAATTAGTTGTTGTTTTTTTATTATTTTTGTATTGCAAAACATAAGGTGCTGATGTAACAAATGTCAATTTGAAGAAGTAAGTAAATTAAATCATGCAAACGTTGTTTAGAATATGCGCTAAATCAAGGGCAATGATAAACAAATAATAATTCAAATGATTCAATTGATATAAATAATATAATCATTATTGGCTATGTAAAGGGTATTTTTGATCATCTGAAGACGTATACACTATTGCCTTTTAAAAAGAGATGCCTTTTTAATTCGATATTGAAGAATATAAAACATTAAATAGTATGTCACCCAAATATATTCAAGATATCTCCGATCAAAATTTCACAGATATTTTTATTCATTCTATTATTAGTATTATTATTATAGACTCTAATTATTATTATTTTATTATTATTATTATTATTATTATTATTATCGTTATTATTATTATTATGATCATTATGAAATACAATGCCATGTTTGTTTGTTTTGTTTTTTTGTTGTTTTTTTTGCTGTCGTTTTTTTTGTTTTTGTTTTTGTTGTTGTTGTTTTTGTTGCTTTTTTATGTCCATATCAAATGATTTAGAATGGTTAGTTATAATGGCTACTGATAAAAATAGTTTCAAGATATATTTTTTATGTACATTTAAGTATTGCACATGTTTATTATAATTGTCAAATACGTTATACAATTCAGTTGTATTCAATTTTATTCTTACAAAACAATATTGGTTGTCTGATTTAGTATGACTGTTTTTCTGGCATATGCAAATATTGTGCATTGCAGATATGACTGCAATTCATTGCAGATATGACTGTTGTTCACTGCAAATACGAGACTGTTATTTTATTATTATTTGAATGTTGTTGTTTTTTTCAAATATGATAGTTGTTGACTGTATATATGATTGTTTTTATAGGATATTTGCCTATTTCCTTGAAATATTGTATGACTGGCAATGCATAAAAATAAATTAACATACAAAACCGTTTCAAGAATCGCTTTGTAAAAGCGATTGGAGGTTTAATTTTCGATTAAATTATTAAGACTGATCCAGCCGTAAAACTAAATGTTAAAGAGAACGTTAATTTGTGGGTAAAGTGGTAGAATAAACAGTGATTTGTTGTTTTGTTACATAATTTATTACCTACTAAAATCTAATTGAAGCCCGCTTAAGTTAAACCCTCTGGCCAACTGAATATGTCTAAGCTTTTTAGATGATAATTTTGTCACCATAGTGAATATACATTTCATCATGGTTGATATACATTTACGTACTTGGATTAATTAGAACTGTTATCAATCATACTTAGCACAAGGACCAACTAATGTGCATTTTCATCATATTTGCATATTGTCAAAAAGTAATACAATAAAAAATTCATGTATCTCGCTCTAGACTTTTTGGTCATTCATTTGAACCATAAAATATATATGATTAATTCGACATTAATGACGAAATACCCAATCTGCTAAAGTTGCACTTTTATACCTTTATCAAATAAGATAACGTTGAAAAAAGTGAAATGTCAGTGTGTATGTTGAATTGCTTATCACATAATTCTTAATTTGTCAATGTGGTATAGATGAACATTAATTATTTACAATGTAAACTAGATGATTCTGGTAAAAACACGATCTATTTGACAAGACTTTCAATGTCATATCAACAAATCAAGTTATTGATAAACAATTTCAAAACAGACATCACCGTCTTAAGACACATATACATGCCTTGTGATAAAATTACATTATTTTTTATTTCCGGTCACAGCTGGTTGAAATATTAAACAACAAACAAGCTGGAAAATCATGTTTCTTTCAAGTCCGAGCCGACCAATAAGCAGATTTGTATATTAATCGTTGTATCTGATAAAATTTTGT